TATATTATATATAATAATATATATAATATATACACACATATATATTATATATACATATATGAATGTATACATATATATTCTTAAATACATATACATTTACATCTGTATTATTATTTGTCTGTCTATTGAAAACCATCAGTTTATACTGTTGTTTCCAATTCTAATCCAATACCACAAAGTTCATGCTAGTTTCATTTTTATCTATATTTGTAGCTTCCTTTCTTCAATGAAGAAACTAACTCCCACTAACCTCATTGTATCTACTCATTGTATCACTCCTGCCTGGATGTAACCCATCATCCATCACTGCTGATTCCTCCCTCCTACCCCACCCCACACTCCCATGTAGATACTTCCTCACCTTTTTCACCCTGCTTGGGCTTCAACATTCCACACAAGGCCAGCGTCACCATGGGAGCCTTTCTCTCCCTCCTTGGGTTCTGACACCTTGCACCCAGTCGTGTAAACACCTGTCCCTCCTTCTTAGGCTCTAATACCCACAGTGGGCTGCCACTACCATTCCCACCTCACCCAGCCCCCTGCATGGATACCTATCTTGCAAATTGCATGTGTGCACATGCGTGCTATCTGTTAACATCTCTAGTAATTTCACTATAGAGTCATTTGCTACATCTCTTTTAGGAACTCTATATATTAGAAATATTAATCTCTTGTCTATAATGTAAGTTTCAAACATATTTCCTGATTTTGTCATTAGATTTTTTTTCTTTGCTTATCTTTGCCACACAAAGATTTTTTTATTATTTTATGTAACTGAATTTATTACTTTTTTTTCTTATTGTTTCTGGATTTTGAATCAATGTTGTACCCTGTTTGCTTTTTCATTGATTTCCAATTTAGGTAGATGTCAGACTGTGTTTTTGTGGGGAAAAAAAAAACTGACTCAATTCTGTCTTCTCACACTTTCAGCTGGTGTCCAAGAGCTGGAATCACGCTTCCTGGTCCCTGGAGATCTATTAATTTTGTCGGGGAACAAGGTGCAAATGCCATGTGATGCCGTTCTGATTGATGGCAGTTGTGTGGTAGATGAAGGCATGCTGACAGGTGCGGTTCTATCTCACAGCTTACCGCCTCTGCTGGCTCTCCCAGGCTCCTCCGCTCCCTGAATGACAATGGCAAAGCTTGGCGCTACTATAGAACCTTCCTACTCTCATAAATCTTACTAACAGTCCTACCCTGGTTATATCTGAGAGTTCAAATCAAAGCTGCTTTCTGTGTGCTAAGTTTCATACAGTAGTGACTTTTTGAGCATTTAGCATTTCTTTCTTGAACAAAGTGTTGTTACAACCATGTCATTTTATCTTAAGTTGTAGAGATCATTAGATGTTTCAGAATCATCTATGGCTTTTATGTTTAGTATTTTTATATAAAATATGTCTTCAGATAAATTTGGAGGGTTTGAAAACATTTAAGGACATCCTGAAACCCAGAGTTCAAGCTCTTCATAGCTTGCTTTGAAAATGTTGAAAAGTTCATGATGCAGGATTTGGCAAATCTTTTATTTTCAAAATACACACTGGGTAGTCTGAACT